GAATAGACTGCATCGCCACAAATTGTCTGTGCCATCACAAACAAGATTTGTCTGACTAAATGTCAGTGCATAATGTGCATGTCCATATCTGAGCTGTGGACACTGTCGTCATGCTCCGTGGAGGCAGAGCTACAGGGAGAACCATCTGCTAAAACAGACAATCAAGACAGAGCAAGTGTGCCATATCCTAAAAGCATCTTTTTTCCCCCCACCTCTTTATTTTTGAGCCTGGATCTGGCTAACTCAGCTGCAGCCGTGTACATTATTCTTATAGCTAAAGCTAGGGGAGAAAAGTCCCAGCCAACCACTTCTCAGGCTTATTCCCAGACTCTGTGACTTTTCTGGTCGTATTTCTTCTGTCCTCACAAAGCACATACTGTACAGAATGACCTGTCTTCTTCTTCATCTTCTGCACCATTAACAGGGTCTCCCATGACCGACCAGTTGCTTTCAGCTATGTTGGTCGAAAGAAAAAATGAACTAAGATGACACTTGGTCTCCGCAGCACAGCTGAGGGTGTTCTCCGACCTGGGTAATAAGTAGACAAAGATAATTATATGCGGCATAAGGTTCAACTTGCAGTCAGTGGAAGTGCCATGGACTCTGGATAAAGCTGATTGGTGTCATGATTTCTTTTTTTTTGCAAGCAGTAGAGTTGTTTGAGAAATGATGGTGTGGCAACAAGCGTGAAATTAAAGTGTCTGAGTGAGCTTGCATTCATGCACAGTACTCTGTGAAAACGTATTTAAGTAGCTGCCATCTACTGAATAACCAGGCTTCTCTCAGAAACAGCTTAGTAAAGCATTGGCAAAGACACCCAGCAGCCAGCCAGATCAGATTGCAAATGTTTGGTAAAATCCTGCCGCTAACTAAATTCTATCTGCAGGAGACTCCCCTAGTTTTTAATACAGTCATTGATTAAATTCTTATACTCTAAAGGCTGTGGATCAGGACTTTTAATTCCATAAACCCAGGCTTCTGGATGGCTGTGTGTGCATTAGCAGGCTGCTCAGCCCGACAGGAGGGCAGTGCAGACCTGACATCACGTGAGGCACTTTTCGGGAGGTTTCATTTCGTATTTGCTTTAACCTGTTCCTGTGGTCCACAGGCCCAAGGCTGGGCAGATGACATGAAGTGCCATCTTGAAGCACTTTTTCTGGTTTTGTATCATCCAAAAAGAATCTAATTTGGGTGCTACAGTATGAACCAAAATGCAGTAGGGCTATAAGGTGGAGACAGTTACTTCAAAAATGCCTTCTCAGCTTGAATTAAGGTGCTAGTATAGTTGCATCCTAGGAGGTTGATGTTAAACGAGATCACCCACAATAACTCTTTTTGCTCAAAATAACCATAATCGCAGGAAAAAAAGCAAATACGCAATTGCCTTTTTTTCACCAATGTTTTTCAAATTGGAAAATTTTGCATGGAAAATCTTAATATATTACTTACTCTGCTTTCAAAAACTTCCTGTCTTTATATTACCTGATACAGCATGGATCCTGCAAGCATTTACTTAATGAGTAGTGTCATTAATTTCTGTAAGATTACTCAAATAAATAAAATTTTTCTTTTCAGGATGAAGATCCAGATCAAGATCCAAGATCATAATGTAGTTAGATTGGAACAGAGCAATAGAAATTATGGGAAACGTTGTCCACTTTGGTCCTTACCAAGTGAAACCAATATTAAGTAAAAAAAAAAAAAAAAAATCATTATAAGAAGAATGGGTATGAAACAATTCATTCTGGGCAATGAAATCTATCCTTGCAAAACCAGAGAAACCTCACTCCTTTTCTTGATCTTATGATGATTTCAGTCTATGCCCAAATTAAGCAAGTAGACCAGCACTATACTCAAGACAGATGTAAAATCTTTACCTTGCTACATTCGTAAACTACTCTGCTGTTGATAGGAATACAATATCATTTCATAGGGTGATAAAAATCTGTATTTTATGAAAAACTTGTGACAAAAATTACATATCATGTGAAACCAAATTTAAAAATAGATTCAATTACAAAGAACTTTGTTTTGTAAAAGATAGAATGGAAACAATACAATAAAAATAGGTTATTACAAATAAAATGTTTTTCACTTCCAAAAGCCTAACTTATTTGTTTTAAAAAGTTGAAATGAAATTTGTTTAGGGATGGTCATTCTTAAAATAAAAGCACAATAGCGCAGAACAAGCATGCATTTATTATCAAAATGTGGATGTACAAGTTGTAAAATATAAATGTCTGGAATTGCAGATGCTATTTAAGAAAATAAAAAGGCTTTCATGTCAGCAATACTTTGGCTAAAGTATGATTCTTTCTATTCAAGATGGTTCTCATCCAGAATAGATCCATGAAAACAGACATACGTGTAACGTCTTCACATTTTATAACACCTAACTATGGATCTGAGCAAATTCCTAATGTTTTTAGCTCTCCTTACTGAGGTGCTTTTCAACCCTGGTTCAGTCAGCCTATTGTTACAAATAAAAAGATCTTTCTTAGTTGTGATTATCATACACTACTGATGTGTCTGATCCTGCATCCACTAAAGTCACTAGCAAAACTTTGACTTGGCCAGGGTCACATCTTTTACTACAAAGCACAATGCATGAAGTTAAAGAACAATGGGAGTACATTCACGTTGCAACTTTTCCAATGGGCTTTAGGTATCTAAATGAAATTGTTCAGTGTTTGGCCTACTTGACACTACATTCAGGTATTTACATCATATACATCTGTTATAAACTCAACAGCAGGTGCTCAGAAACGGCTGTGTCCAGCAGTTTCACAAAATTCCAGACTGAACCATTTTAATTAATGGAGACAGAGAGGGTAACATGAAATCTTCCAGATAAAGCTGGCCCCAGTATAATTTTGTCTCTTGCAAGTAGCCAGAAACGTGGCAATCTTTGAGAGGCTGCCTAATGAACTGTTTCAAGTTTTCTTCCAGGATTTCGAAAACGAAAGTCACGCGTAATAAAACTGTAATTTGTTGCTAATGGTCATTTTTTCAGTGGCAGAGTCAAAAGAAGAGCAGGGTCATATGTGGATAGTGTCAGCTGGTGTGCTCTGTGGGTTTGTTCTTGGCTGGGGATCCTGCTTCTGGAGGAGTCAGATGTCCCGGGATCCAAGGGGCGAAGATGAAGGCATGGGCAGGGAGGACCTTTCCTTGCCCTGCCAGGGTGGGAGTGAGTGCGGGGCCATGGCTCACTAGCTGCTGCAGCCCCTCGTGCAGCCGTGTCCCAGTAAGTTGTTGTTACATCCATCCTGGAGTTTCTCGTGACTCTGAAGGGATGCTCTGCTGCTGTCCATGCTGGAAGTCTGTCCGCTTTGATCTTGCTGTCTTCTTAATCTGCCAAAGGTTAAAAACATCAGTACAGCTATCATGTGCAGATGACTGTATCAGAATGGCAGCCATTGCCTGTCCTGTGGGTAGCCACATACACCTGCGTATCAAACAGATTCCTGTACTATTCGATCTCTATTAACTCCTTGAGCTGCTGTTTCTTCTAAACACTAATGATTGTTTCCTCCTAAATATGTGCAGTTGGGTCTTGGTCAAACACTGCTCCCATTAAAGCCTATGGTAAATAGTGGACAAGAGTTCTCTGGCTTTAGCTGCTCTCCTCAGAGTGTAACTTGACAAAACCTTCAGGTAGCTCAAGGCTGAGGAGCGTTGTTGACTAGACACACAACGGCAGTAAGCAGCTGCTCCCTTCTCCTGTCCTACAAAATTATCAGAAACCTCAATCAGTACAAAAGAAAACATGAGATGAAAGTATATTCAGTATTCCTCTTGTTATTACTTCATATGTTGTCAAAGCCTCATATCTGGTCTCAAGGAACAACAAAATTCTATGTTGTTTAAAGACTGCAAAGTCACCTTCTTTTGACATCATTTTCTGGAGAACAGCCACAGCCCTAGCAGCACCTGCAGTCTCCACCAATTGTTTTATCATCAAGCTTCCCAGAATTTCTGTCCAACACTGATATCAATCTTTTTACTGTGATTCATGTGATATTCAGTGTTTTCCTCCAAACATAGACACAATGCAAGTCTTTTCAAAAATGATGTAAAGAGTCATGCAGAAGCTATAAAGTAGAGATCATTTTTTTTAAAAAAATGTGAACAGCTGCTGGTTTGGAGGAATTTTTCTCTGACTATTTGTTTTCTTAAAATGAGAAACAGCTGTTCATGTATTCTCAAAAAATGCACCAAGAGTTGGCACCAGAGACACTATGGAAAAAGCTCTTTGTTATAGTGATTATAAGTGGTATATATGATATACTCCAAAAAAAAACTTTGCAAGTAATATTGAATGTGTAGAAAATACTCAATAATGGAAAAGTATGCAAAAACAAAATTTAAAGGGTCAGTTTAAAAGCGTAAAATACTTCCAGGTGGTATAAGGACTATAGAAACACCATACTCAAGACTCAGAAAATTATGTGAAAGGACATAAGCAGAGGAGTAAAGGAGGCTATTTAAAGTAAAAATAATGAAAACGTTGTCCACATAGGTTAAATTTAGAAGAGCTCAAACACTGACACATTAGATAAAAAACTTTAAGACAGACTGAAAAAACAGATTAGAGGAAAAAATTGCTAAAAGCATTTACACTAATAGTAATTTTTTTCTAGTGCACCAGAAACAAGAAGGCTACCAGTGTGTCTACGGGCCGATGGAGGACTGAGATATTAGAGGAAAGCACAAGACATATGAGTCCCTAGCTGAAAAGCCAATGAATTTTCTTCGCCAACGTTCATGACAAATGAGCTTAGGGACATTCCTTTCTTCATGAGAAATTTTTCCATCATCTCCAGTTAAACCATCAGTCAAAGAGCTTTAGAACCAGTCATTCAAACGAATGTTGACAAATCTTCAAGACAGTGAATTTTCACCCAAGGGCTCTAAGAAAATTGAAATATATAATTTCTGCACAGCTGAAAGGAATATGTAGCTTACTGTTGAAACTGTCTTGGCACCAAGGAGTGGAAGACAGCAAATGTAATGATTTTTTGAATTTCATAAGAGCTTCAAAAGAGATCCAGGGAACTACATGAAAGTAATTGAATCAGACAGAGTCTTGAACCTTCTTAGGCTTGAGCTACCGGCCCTTGTGAGACTAAGTTATTGGTAGGCATCAACAGAAAAGGCTGCAGTGCTTGGAAACTCATGTTGCAAATTGTGCGTTGCAGACCTGTGCAAACTGCTAAATAGTAGAGTGAGACAAATCTTGGCTCTATGGAGATCTGAGGAATCATTGCGTTGGTCTGAGACATGCGAGTGTTTTCTCCCTGAGTTTGTTTAATGCTTACTTGGTTCATAAAATGCTGAAAAAGAAGGCATTTGCTGTACTGCTAAAATTAATGGGGAAATAACATTATTGAGAAGTCTCTCAATAACAGCATAAAGCAGGAAAACACCAATATATTTTTTCAAACCAAACTGGCATAAAGGCAGCATGTAAGGAGCACAGTGAGAAAGGAGAGAAATGAAGCCTGTGCTGAGTTCAAAAGATACCACTGACCAGCCTTGAACTTCTCAAACTCTACGGAGGTGGTTTCTGTTGTTGGTTTGCATTTATTTTCTTTTATCTTGTCCTTACTCCGCAGGTTTGTTATTGAGCCATAATTAGATTATGCGGGTTTGAAAGGGCTAAATAAACATGTTGTTTTAGCAGTGCGTCATTGTATTCCTTTTTCAGGCATTTTCTGTTTCCGTAACAAGATTCACTACCCATATTTATATCAAAATAAACAATAGGTTATTAACCTGATGATGTAGTAAAAATTTAACTTATTTAGATGTTTAATAATTTATCAATAACTTCATTCAGTGATTAAAATGACCTTAAAGACTTCACTATAAGGGGCTATAATGGGCATGCTAGCACCTACTGTGTGTCCTGGGATTGGGGAATTGGACTAAGAATCAGGAGATGCTCACTCTGTTTCTACCTCTGTCACCCTATGGGCAAATTACAGCCCTTTTCTGTACCTTGACTTCTTTCTTGACAAGCGGAGACAATATAAGAGGGTGAAGCTGAGGGGGAATTATATTTGTCTAGAAATCTCATATATTTGTCTAGAAATCTCATATGTCTAGAATCTCATAAATCTGAGCTGGGTAAGTCATGGATAAGAAATAGAAACAAAAAGAACATCGAAGCCATGCTTGGACTGATGAAACCTTGTGTTCTTATCAAACCCATGCCTGCAGGAAATTTTTCTAGATAAACTGGTGACAAAGCATGTATAGGTTCGCACTTGCAGCTCTTGATTAGGCAGAGGATGTAACAAGCAGGAACGTGCCAAGCAATGTGGGACTTTTCTTGTAGCTGCACATCAGATGTTGAGGCAGCTGCTGCCGAGAGCGATGGAAGCTGAGAGCTCTAAGTACTGCTCTGTGCCTCACAGACCTGAATGAAACGGGGAATTAGAGTCTGGTGTCTGTGATGATTAAGAAGAGAAGGTGGCATATATAATCAAGCAAAATGTAATTATACTGAATATGTAATTATGCATATATGCATTATTGAGTACATAAAAATACAAAAGTAAAGAGAGCAGACTGGCTAAAAGCTAGCACGGAAAATACTGAAGCAAAAAGACTGCTACAACTATGGAAGACCAGAGCGAAAATCACAAACATCTAATGAAACCCAGTAGCAAACTTGGGGACCACTAGGGAAGAGCTTACAGCTCAGCTTTGTTCACTAGATGAAGAAATATATTGAATATTTATCTTCAGGCTGCTTAGTAGGATACGTTCAATGAAAAAGAATGAAAAGTTGCAGATCCAACACGACTGCCAAAATTTCAGGTTTATTAAGAGACTAAGGCCTCCTCCCACACCACTGCAGTTTCACCAAAAATAAAATAAGGCAATCGGTCTGTATTTCAATCTAGCCCCAAACTGCAAATAGGGTCAGGTCAAGATCTAAGCAAATCTCACCACAGCAGCTGTGTGTGAACAAGCGGTCTCCTCTCTTAAAATGCTGGACAGTTGCACAAGTGAAATTTATCTCTCATTCGTTCATTCTTGATTCCTTGGTGCCAGAGCTGGAGAGCTTTTCCATTAGATGTTCCCAGCTTTTCAAAAACATGGGTACCTCGACACTGTGCCTGTAATCATGGCAAAGTAAACGCAGTCTAGGCCATTCTGTTTAAAAATGACACTAGTGCAATAGGAAGTTTTGTAGGACACTGCTTTCCATTGAATTACTTATCTTGCCTTTAATATGACACAGCTTCAGGCTGTGATAACTTGATAAAGGTCCAGGGAGAACGAATGGCTTGGTGGGGACTTAGCTGTGCATCTGAACCAGGTAGCTATTCCTTTGCTGAATGCTATTGACCAAGAATAAATGGTTAAATGGCTAGCTGCAGATAGTCATATGGAAAAAAAACCAAACCAAACCTGCAGGGAAAAGAGGATGAAAATTAGTTTGAACAGTGTCTATTACATTTATACCATAGCAATTCTGTACGAATACATAAGTAGTCTCAGAGGCAGTTATGCTGGGATTTAAGAGTGGTTCTGCTGAACCAACAAAGAGATAAGCTGAGTTTTCCTTTCCTTCACCGTTGATCCATGCAATATTGGCAGTGCATGACACTGAGCGTTGAACAACCTCCTCTCCAGCAGTGAGGAAGAAAGAGGCTCTACCAACCTCTACAGCAATATATCAAGAAAAGTAACTGAGCCTTCACCAGTATTTCTGGTAAAGAGAAAGTGTCTGTGTGAGCTATGGAAAGGTTTTTAAGATTCTTATTATCTTGATACTCAGATATTATAGCAGAGATCCTGCAGTATTGATTTCCAGTACCGGATCTTGAATCAGATATTAATCAGTGAATGGGCATTCAAAGGGCAGGGAAAAATTGTTGGTCCAAAAAAACCTCTAGCAATATAGACGGGTGGCGTCAGGTTTACCAAACGTAGCTGCTCGGTTTGAGAGCTGTATGGAGGCTGTTACATTGCCTGTCGCTCTTGTCTCTTTGCTCTGGCCAGACAATACCTCGGAGCACAGTATCGCCTTTGTGCAGCTGACGTACTCACCGGTGGGTCTTGCCCTACGGTCAGTGTGAAACTGAAGCCTCAGAATGTGAGATGTTTCGAACAGCGGGCACACACTCAGCAACCACTGAGGACAGAATTTCTACTGACAAAAAGGGAATTCAAGCCAGGCAGAACTACCACTTTTCCCAGACTCCCACACATACCAGGTCCTACAAGACAATCTATTTGTCAGGGGAAATTTGCAGGTGAATATGCTAGTGTTGCAAGCCCAGTGTCATGGGTCTGGAGGAAAGAAAATGGCCTGATTGAGCAGTGGAAATTACTTT